ACTGCGTGACTTTGGGCATGCCATACAACTTCTCTAGACCACAGATCCTCAGCTGCAAATGAGTGATTGGTGCATGTTCATTCCAATCTCTTTTCCTACTGGTGGATGTGGTTCCTAATTGTACCCGTTCCTTTTTTCTCTGGTGGAGGTGTATATTTCTGGTTAGAGCTTGTTCTTGACCTGTTTATGAGACTTCCATTGGTGTAGATATCTTGACTAAGAAGAAATTAACTGGGCAGAGTTGAGGGCAGGCATTGAGGAAAAAGAGAAACAGTAGGGAGGACAGAAGGGGAGATGACCTGACATTTATTTCTGATCCTCTTTCAGGAATACTTGCATCTTTTGCTGCAAAAGGAGAGAAAGAGAAATCAACCTTGATGGTTACAAAATGCTCTTTGCTCCATGATTGATTTAGGCATTAGCAGGGCAGTCCTTCCAGTAAACTACCTCGTTATTCCCAATTCAGCAGAATCCAGATTTACACCAATGCCTGTGCTGTTACAATAATTTACTAAATAATTGTTGCTTTCCTTTACTCTTTAAACCTGCCAGAAGGTTGCAAGCTGTTACTGTGTGCCCTTGTAGTTTGCCAAATTAAGCTGTTTTCTTCTTCTTCTCCAAGTCATTTTAAGGCACTGTGTTCTAAAACAGTCTGCCCATTGAAAGTCCAGTTTACCATTTAGAATGAGTGACATTTGTCTTCACAGACATTTATGACCAAAGGAATGTAATCAAAAGAAATGAAGTGATTATTCATTATTCCATTTAGCTTCTGGCAATGGCTGGCAAATTTCCTTCCCCATCCCTATCTGGCTGATCTAAATTTTCCCACAGAAAACAGCTGGACCAACTGTTTGCTGATTGGTATTTAGAGTGTGTAGTCTTCTCTCCAGATGTATGATTCAGCTGTCATTTTGCTCAGAAATGGGCTTGGGATACTTGCCCCTCAGAACTGATGCTGGTTTAGAATTCCCAAGCAACCTCAGCAAGTGTGACCATTTGAGAGTGTACGAATGGGTGAATAGGTGAGTAGGTTCACTTAGCAGTGATTCAAGCTTGTGTCCCAAGTCTAGTTTGGCATTAAAAGAAAAAGAAAAAGTTGCCATTGAGTCTGTTCTGACTCAGGGTGACTGACTCTTTATGTTTCCAGCAGAAATGGGCATAGGGTTTTCAATGGGTGTAGCAAGGAGCTCTGGCAGCGTAGAGGTTACAAATCGGGCTGCTAACCTCAGGGTCAGCGGTTCAAAACTACCAGCTGTTCTGCAGGAGAAAGATGAAGCTTTCTGCTCCCGTAAAGATTTACAGCCTCGGAAACCCAGTACAGGGTTGCTATGAATCAGAAGCAACTCCACGGCACATAACAACAACAACAACAACAAGCTTTCAGAAGTAAATCACTAAGCCTTGTATCTGAGGCACCTCTCGGTGGATTCAGAGACTACAAGCTTCCTGTTAGTAACCAAGTGCTTAATTGTTTGCATCACCTGAAGATTCCTGGTTTGGGGCACATTTCCTCTGATATGGCCGCTTAGCTTCCCAGAGGAATCAATTGTTCAGGGATTTCTATTAGAGCATCATGGACTCACAGGAGTTTAGACTTAGTTACAAGTTGAGCCTTAGCTATTATGGTGGCCTTTTCTGAGTGGCAGGAGCCAGTGATCCCCTGAGGAACAATACAGGTAAAAGTTCCCAATCTGACATTTTATAGCCTCTGTACCCTAATCTTTTTTCTCTTTTCCCCTGGCCCAGGAGACTTTTAGTTTGGGACAAATTGGCAATTTAGGACTGGTTGCTGGCTTCTTCCATCCAAGCCAACCTTCGGATAGTGGAGGGAGGTGGGGAGATTGAACCAAGAGCCATAGATTAGTGACAACAACTAAAGGGTAGATGCCCCATAGTAACCCCAGGCCCTGCTGATGAATGGAGCACTGAGCTGTAAAACCTGGATTACATCAATGGAACTTCTCATAGCTGAGAAGCTCACCTTCTATCCCCCTTTCATCTGGTGGAATACATTACTAGCCAAAAATGAGTTTACACTCACAACAATTATAGTCATCTCAAGAGCATGAATAATATGAAAGATGGACAAAACAGGGCCTAGATTAAAGGAAGCAGAAGTAATGGAAAAGGCAAAACAAGAATGTAAAGTGAGAATAATGTAACATGCTGTGTTGGGCAACTGTGGCACCTCTCTGATGGGAATGTTGCTTGCTAAAATCCAATGGGTAGCCATTTAGCTAAACAGTTTAACTAGCCATTTAGTTAAACACTTTAACACATGTTAGACACAGCATTCCACCTCAACATAATAAAGTTGTACACATAACTTTAGTATGTGTACAACTAACCCAAAGTGTATCAATGGATCAAAGATAAAGAAAATATTCCATTTCCATATAATAGAATATTATTCAGCCATAAAAATGGGTGAAGTGCTGATACCTGTGATTACCTGGATATACAAAACATTATGCTAAGTGAAAAGGTCAGATAAAAGGTCACATATGATTTGTGTTAAATGCCCAGAAAAGGCAAATCCATATTTATGTAGAAAAGTCAAAGGCTGTGGGAAGATGGGAAATGAGTTCTTGCTAATGAGTATGAGCCTTCTTATAGGACATAAAAGTATTCTGAATTTAGAAAGTGACTATGGTGGTTCATTCTATAAATATACTTTAAAATATTTAATTGTATGCTTTACAAGGGTGAATTTTATAGTATGTAAATAATATCTCAATAATAGGTCGGCAGTTCAAGCCCACTAGTCACTCCTTGGAAACCCTCTACAGAGTTGCTATGAGTTGGAACTGACTCAAAAGCACTTAACAACAACAACAACAATAAAATAAGATATATGGTATTGTTGTTATTGTTATTGTTGTTAAGTGCTGTTGAGTTGGTTTTGTCTCATACTGACCCTATATAGAGTTTCCTAGGAGTGACTGGTGAACTTGAACCACCAACCTTGCAGTCCAGCACATTAACCCACAGCACCACAGTGCTCATATTAAAATGTGATGAGTACAGATTTGCAAGTCATTATGTATTGATATAAATCAGTGAGTAACTAACCACTTGGGAGCCTCAGTTTCCTCTTCTGTAAAATAGAGGTTTAATTTAAACTACCTTGAGGCTCTCTTCCAGTATCTTTGAATCTTTCTTCATATAAAGTAATATAAAAAAAAAAAACCTACTGGACAGATTAACTCTAGAATAAAAATAAACCCTGATACCTTTAATCTCTCATTAATTTTGTGGCTTAGACAGTTAACAAACTTGGCTATTTACTTCCCAAAAGGTCGGTGGTTGAAGGCAGGCACATAAACACAAGGCACATTGGAAGAAAGACCTAGTGATGTGCTTCCAAAAAAATCAGCCATTGAAAATCATATGTAGTACAGTTCTACACTGACACACATGATGTCATCATGCGTTAGAACCAACTCAACGGCAACTGTATTTTTCTTTTTTCATTTTGACCCATTTCTCTTTTTATAACAAGTCTGATTTGGTAAATTTTCCATGGTATTGTAAGTTCACATGAAGATGTCTGTCTGATTTCAAGCAGGAGAGTACTGCTAACATTAAAATCATGTAAAACTGTTTATACTGTCAGAGAACCATCTTCACAGGATTTAAAGAAGAAAAAGCCTGGATAGCCTGTTAGCTGTTTTGAACCAAGTATGTATTTATCTGAGGGTCAATAAAAAATGTACAGGGGATTCCAGTTCATACACTCATGGATTTATTCCAAACAAAACATGTTTAAATATGTCTCTGTGATCAGTGGATGGCTGCAGACAGGCTCTTTCAGTAGTATGCTTAGTCTCATTAGGGTGCCCTCAAAAACAAGGTCTTATCAAATCATGGGCTTCTCTGGAACATCTGCGAGACCAGTTAAATTCAAGGCAGAGAGGTCAGATCAGAAGGTCATAGAGACGGTTGAGATTTCAAATGGGTAAATCGTAATAGATTTTCTCAAAGAACACAGGACAATCACAGAATTATCAGAACTTTTTTTTTTTCTTAATTGAAAACTGCATTGGTGAGGAAAAGGCCAGGGAATTTGTGCCGAGGGAGATTTTTGTGTTTTTTTTTTTTTTTCTCCCATCATGACAGTGTACTCGCTCATTCTTCAAGGGTAGCCAGGGCTGTCCTATAAGAATTGCATTGCAAAACCTCACTCCATCCACCTATCTGGTCTTAATTTTGCCCCTTCAGACTTCTTTGTTTCCCAAACTCAAAGATCATTGAAAAGGAACATGATTTGAGTCCCTTGAAGATGCCAAAACTGTTGTTTTGATGTGGTATAAATTGAAGAGCACAGAATTCTGCAAGGCAGATTTAGACTGATGGAAACACAGCTTTCAGAAGTATATAGACCAAATGGGTAATATGTTGAGAAATGATAGCTTCACATTTTGATATTTTTGTTCAATAAGTTTACTATGATTTTGTAGCAATAACTTTTTTTTTCACTTGCCCTCCTATAATAGTCATTATTGTCATAGAACAGAAGATAAACAACTCTAATTTTATAAATTCCATGAGGATACAGATTTTATATAAAATTGATAGCAGAGTCATTAAGAGCTTGGACTCTGTATCACTTTGCCTGGGATAGCATCCTGGCTCCACAACTAACAATGCCTCTCTGTGACTCAGTTTTCTGACCTGCCACATGTAATAATAGTACCTACTTCTAAGCAGCTGTGAGGATTAAATTAATTCATACTTATAAAACACTGAGAAAGGTCTCTGAGTCTTACTAAGCTCTTTGGAAACATTTGCACTGTCTTCAACAAATACTCCAAATGCTTCATTAGATGTTACCAAGACATCTGATATTAGTTAACAAATACTTGTTTACAATGTATTTTGTGCTAACCCAATTTTCCCAGTAGTTATTTGGTTATTTTCTGCTGTACAACAAGACTATAAATAATTATAATTTTTTTTTTCTCTCAGTGTTAAATCAAGGGATCTTTACTAACAAAATGAAGATGTTGCTGGTTCTATTTGTCCTAATCTTTTGGATTGACACATCAGCTGAGCAGAGTCCAGGTATGTTGTGTTTATTATTATTTAGAGTAATAAATAATTCATGCCTCAGTAAAAAAAAAAAAAAAAAAAGAGTTAAAAAGAAGAGAGGAAGAAAAAATAAAAGTAGAATGCATTTAGTAGTGGTGGTGGTGGCTACCTACGATGGAGTCGGTTCTGACTCATAGAGATCCTGTGCAGGATTTCTGAGGCTGTAACTCTTTACAGGAGCAGAAAGCATCATCTTTCTCCTGCAGAACAGCTGCTGGTTTTGCACTGCTAACCTTAAGTTTCACAGCCCAATTCATAACCACTACCCTACCAGAGTAGGTGTGGGAATATACTGTTAAGCAAACATTCTTTCAAAAGATGACAGAAAGCTTTGGGGAAAAGTTATGAAAGCCTTGAGTAAAAATCATGAATTATGTACCACCTAACTAAAGAATCTTTCTTTATTCATTGATTTGCTAAGTCCCAGTGTTCTCTGTGCTTTCATGAAGAGTCAGTCTATTTGCATATAAGTCAGTTTGTTTTGTGGCTTTAATAATGAAAGGAAAAAGAAATAGGAACCCCACACAGAAAACAAATTATAAGTATCCATGTATTTAAACTACTGCCTTTCTTTTCCTTTACAAACATGAAATAGAGAAGGGCTAGCTCTGGTAACATAGTGGTTATAAATCGAGCTACTAATCTCATGGTCAGCAGTTCGAAACTACCAGCTGTTCCATGGGGAAAAGATGAGGCTTTCTGCTCCCGTAAACATTTACAACTTCGGAAACCCTGTACAGGGTCACTATGAGTCGGAACTGACTCCATGGCACATAACAACAACAACAACAACAATATGTTTTATTTGGGGAGTGAGGTGAGGGAGGAAGTATGAAAGATAGGTTTTCCTAGTCTTCTCTATTTACTAAAAGCAGTTCAGTAAAAGTATTTCTAATATCCTAGGATTTCATGACACATTTTTGAGCTATGTTAAAAACCGGTCATTAGACATTCACCAGTACGTCACTAATTTTGATGGTGGCGACGACTGATGTCAACTACCAAGGCAGACACTGTTGGTGCCTCCTATGGCCCAGACCCTCTCTAGTGGGATGTTGAAGATAGCCCCAGCTACTGTGAAAATTGCCTGCAAGAGGTCACAACAGGCTCTCACTTCTTAGAATTTATCTTGTCTGATGGGAGTCACCTTATTTAGGAAATTATGCCTCTGTCCCTCACTGTCAGTTTCTGGGAATTAACTACAGCTAATGTCTGTTGTCCTGGTGTGGCACTATGGGTTAATGCACTGGACTGCAAAGTTAATTTGATCCGCAAGGTCAGTGGTTCAAGCTCACCAGCTGCTACTGGGAAACTCTACAACAACAACGCACGTTGTTGTTGTTAGGTGCCATCAAGTCAGTTCCAACTCATAGTGACTCTATACACAATAACAAAAAACACTGGCTGCTCCTGTGTCACCCTCACAATTGTTTTGTTTGAGCCTATTGTCGCTGTCACTGTGTCAACCCATCTCATTTGGGGTCTTTCTCTTTTTGTTTTTGATTACCCTTCACCTTCTAAGCATGATGTTATTCTCCAGGAACTTGTCCCTCCTGACAACATGTCCAAAAAATTGGAGATGAAGTCTTGCTTCTTCTTCTTTTTTTTTTTTAAGTTTTTATTGTGAGTTGAGTGAGTTTACAGGGCAGATCATCAGTTTTACATCAAGAAATCATACACCTTGTTTCATTATAATGATTATAATCCCCTCCATGTACCATCAGTTAACAGTATTTCTCTCTATTCATTTAGCTTGAAGTCTTGCTTCTAATGATCATTCTGGCTGCATTTCCTCCGAGATAGATTTGTTAGTTCTTCTGACAGTCCATGGTACTTTTGATATTCTTCTCCAATATCCCAACTCAGATGCATGGGTTCTTATACAGTCTTGCTTATTCACTGTGCAGCTTTCACATGCATATGAAGTTATTGCAAATACCATAGTTTAGGTCATACACCTTAGTCCTCAAGGTGACATCTTGGCTCTTTAACACTTTAAAGAGGTCCTTTGCAGCAGATGTGCTGAATGCAAAATGTCATTTGATTTCTTGACTGATTGTTGTTGTTAAGTGCTGTTGAGTTGGTTTCAACTCATAGCAACCTCTTATAGGGTTTCCAAGGAGTGGCTGGTGAGCTTGAACTACCGACCTTGTAGTTCAGTGCATTAACCCACAGCACCACACCAGAACTTTTGATGTTGCTGTTGTTAAGTGCCGTTGAGTTGGTTTAGACCCATAGTGACCCTGTACAGGGTTTCCAAGGAGACGCTGGTGAGCTTGAACCACTAACCTTGCAGTTCAAATAGCTTTGTAGTCTGGCACATTAACCCACAGCGCCACATCAGGACTCTTGATGTTGTTGTTGTTGTTGTTGTTGTTAAGTGCCATCAAGTCAGTTCCGACCCATAGCGACCCTGTACAGGGGTTTCCGAGGGTGTAAATCTTTACGGGAGTAGAAAGCCTCATCCTTCTCCCGCGGAGCAGCTGGTAGTTTCGAACCGCTGACCTTAAGGTTCGCAGCCCGATTCGTAATCACTACGCTACCAGAGCTCCTCTAGGTAGGGGTGTATAAAACATGACCCTCTTGCCTCAAGTAGGAACAAGTGTGTTACAATTTATGCTCCAGATTCCCTTGCCAATCAGGTCAGATCTAGACTTTCCCAGAGGATATATCCCTCTTTGCCCCTTCTCTGTCTCAACACTTCTCTTAACATTCCTTCCACCTCAGTCTACAAACCCATGCACCCAAGTCCCTGCCTCAGACTCTCCTAGGACCTCTAACCCAAGAGATCTAACTCTATACCTCTTCTAAAATACTAACTTAGGGCTTTCTAGGGTGGTATCACATTGTCTGTTCTCTGGTACATCAGAGTTGAGGGTTCCAGAACAACAAAAAGAACAGAAAGAAGTCAGATTGATTCTGGTAAAGTTGAAAAAGAAAAATTAGTAAAACAAGTCGTTTCTTCTGCTTAATCTCTAGAAGATATTTTCCTTAGGATTCTGAGTTACTCTGAACACTAGATCATATTCTCAAATGCATACCATGGTCTGAAATGTAGAATCTGAGATATAACCTTGGCTTATTTTGTTTTATTGTCATTTTGTCTGTTATTTTGTTTTGATAGGACCAGGCCCGGAGTATGCAGATATCGTGTTTCTGGTGGACAGCTCTGATAAACTGGGAATTAAGTCTTTCCCATTTGTGAAAACATTCATTAGCAAAATGATCAACAGTCTCCCCATAGAGGCCAACAAATATCAAGTGGCCCTGGCCCAGTACAGTGATGAACTCCACAATGAATTTCAACTGAATACCTTCAGGGGCAAGAACCCTATGCTGAACCATCTCAAGAAGCAGTTCGACTTCATTGGTGGATCACTGAGAATAGGAAAAGCACTCCAGGAGGCTCACAGGCTCTATTTCTCTGCACCCACAAATGGAAGAGACAAGAAACAGTTTCCCCCCATCCTGGTGGTCCTGGCTTCAGCTGAGTCTGAAGATGATGTAGAAGAAGCAGCTAGGGCCCTGCAGAATGATGGGGTGAGAATTGTCTCTGTGGGAATGCAGAAAGCTTCTGAGGAAAACCTGAAAGCCATGGCCACGTCTCAGTTTCATTACCGCCTTCGTACAGCCAGAGACCTCAGCACGTTTTCCCAAAACATGATGCAGATCATCAAGGAAGTAACCCAGTACAAGGCAGGAGCAGTTCATCCTGATATAGAAAGTAAGAAATTCCTTGGTTGAAGAGGTACCCACTTACAGTGAGAATCTGCATCTCTTCATCCTCTTCTCTCAATTGCCATCTTGGTTTTCATGAATTGTTGTTGTTAATTTTCATCAAGTTGATTCCACCTCATGGTGGTACCATGTATGCAGAGTGGAACTGTAGGATTTTCAGGACTGTGACTTTTTTTTTTTTATTGTGAGATTTACATGGGAGAACATCAGCTTTACACTCATCCTATCGTATTTTGTTTCATTGCAATGATTACAATCCCCTCCATGCATCATCAAATAACCAAAGGGTACACTACACAGACCCGCCTCTCCGGGCCATCAGCACACAGCCCTTCTCCCTCCCTGAGTCCAGTGTCCCCAGCCACTCCATCTGTTCACATCATCGTCTCTGTCTCCATCCCTGGCGTCCCTGCCTCTCTGGGTAGGGTCCCGCTCTCTGTTCTCTTCACTTGATGGTCCCAGGGACCTCCACTCCTGGGCTGCAAAATCAACCACTCTCCTCCTTTTGTCAAAAAACATCCACCTCTATATTTCCTACCCCCATAGTCAGCAGAACTATGACCTTTTAGAAGCAGATCATTAAATGTGTCTTCTGAGACACCTCTGCTTGGTTTGAGCAGCCAACCTCTTAGCTAGTAGTCAAGAACTATTTGCACCACCCAGGAACTCCTGGATACCCATGATTAAAACACCCAAAAACCAAACCCCGAGTTTGGTTGCCATTGAGCTGATTTTGAGTCATATCGATTAGCCATACTGAATTACAATAATATCAACACATCATGCTCTTTCTCACCTCTGCTTTTGCTTTTGGCATTCTCTTTAACAGAAATACTCTTGCCCTGTGTTACCTTCTCACAGCATGAGCAACGCCTATCATTATGTAATTATCAACTCTAATTTAATTATCAATCTTAGAGTTATATCCTCTTGAAAGTCATTCCTTTCAAATTTCTTTTTAGAATCACAAGTCCCTGTGCACAACTGACAGCTGTAGCACTTCCCTCATTGTATAAATATCCAGTTATTTGCTTGTCCTCCTCACACCATTCAACTAGTGGTGTCATAAGGACACATTGACCATTCATATTTGCCTCAATATTCCCAGTACCAGACTCCTAGTGTGGTGCTGTAGGATCAGCACTGGACTGCGAACCACAAAGTCTGCAGTTCAAACCCACCAGCTGCTCCTTAGAAACCCTATACAGAGTTGCTGTGAGTCAGAACTGACAACAACCACAACATTCCTAGTGCCTAGCACAATGCCTGAGTGCCAAAAATCTTAGAGATAAAGCAATAAGACCCTGTGTGTTCTTCCCCTCACAGTCTTGGCACAGTGTGAGGCATACGGTAGAGAGTTAATAAACACCTATCAATCGCTATATAACTGCACTAAATGAAAATAATAACCTGAGACTGTGACACATCATAGCACATATTCATGCTTTATATTCAACCAAAGGGCTTTCCTTAGCAACAACAGAGTAATGCACTGTCTATTAGAGGCTACCTCAGATGGCCAGATTATTCTCTTCATTCATATCCCAACCAAATGGTCTCAGAAACACCTTTCCTGACTTCTTCATGTCTCAGTTTTATTAGTCCTACCTCACATCCCAGAATAGTTATTTGATTGGGTTATATTTTATTTCCTTTCTAACACTTACTACTGTCTGAAACAATATAGTTATTTGCCTCCTCCCATAGACTTTAAGGTCCTGAGGTCAGAGAGATTTCTGCTTATGCATATCTGAATCCCAGCAGTTAAGGGAATGGAGGAGGTGGTAGTGGTGGTGGTAAAGGCGGTGATGGTGGTGATACTGATGCTGATGGAGGTGGTGGTAATGAAGGGATTGGTGGTAGTAATGGTGGTGGTGGTGGTGGTGGTAGGATGTAGGAAAATTGGTGAGAGGCATTCTTCAGATAGAAGGAATAACATATGAAAAATCTCTAAGTCAGTATCCTAGTAGGCAGTGTTAGGAATTTTGTTCTTTTGTTTCAATCTACTAGAAGTAAGCAATATGAACTATACCTGTTATGATGACTTGTATTTCCAACCATGCCTTTTGACAATCTGTAAAGGACCTATCTTACTCAAAGTCAGTAGTTTATAGCAATCCTCATACTCTTCCTCTCTCCACAGTTCCAGTGTCCGTAAGATGTCAGGGAGAGTCACTTGCTGATCTTGTGTTCCTGGTGGATGAGTCTTTTGACACCAGACAAAACTTAAGGGATCTACAGAAATTTCTGGAGAATATCACTGCCACCATGGATGTGAAGGACAACTGCATGCGACTTGGACTGATGAGTTACAGTGACAAAGCCAAGATTATTTCTTCTCTGAAATCAAGCACAACCCAGGTTCAATTTCAGCAGCAGATCCAGAAACTTTCTATCCATACTGGGAAATCCAATGCTGGGGCTGCCATTGAGAAGATGAGGAGAGAAGTCTTCTCTGAGGCAGGTGGTAGCAGAAGAGCTCAAGGAGTTCCTCAAGTCGCAGTCCTGGTCACCCACAGATCATCAGATGACCAGGTGGCTAGGGCTGCAGCGAAACTTCGACGGAAGGGTGTGACTGTGTTTGCTATAAGCATCCCAGGAGCCAACAACACACAGTTAGAAGAAATAGTGTCTTACCCTCCACAACAGACAATAGCCATGATGAATTCTTACGCAGACATGAAAAAGCACAGTAAGGCATTTCTGAAAAAGCTCCAGATTAAAACATGGTCCTACATTTTTCATCAAGCTGGACAAACAGACCTTGATAAAGCTGGTATGTTTTTTAAAATACTTTTCTTACTATAAAAGGGATAGGATTGGCTAGCATTGGGTAGGAGTGAGGATTGATTGAAATTGAATAAGAGAACATTTTGGAATTAATTAAAGTGTTCTCAAACTGGGTTTTGGTAATACTGCACAATTCTTATCAATTTATAAAATTCATTGAATTTATATAAGTTTATGAATATACTTATAATGGAAGAATTGTAAAGTTTGTTAAGTTATACTTCAATAAACTGTAAAATTGTAATATGTGCCAATTCTAGGAGATTTTAATATTGTAAATAAATATAAAGAAGAAAATAAAATTTCCTGTAAACTTCTCAGATAAAACCAATTTTAACATTTATTTCTCTTATAGCTTAGTACTGTCTCTGACTCTCTGTCTGTCTGTCTGTATAACTACTGTACCAAGAACCAAGAATACCTAGATAGAAGAAACAGAATTTAACCCCATGGTACATTTAGCTGCCTGTCTCTCTCCACATAGGCACACACACATACTCATTTTTAAAAAACAACACTGCACTGTGCTTCTAACTGCTGTCCACAGAACCTTCTGTGATGATGGAAATGTTTTATGTCTACAGTGTCTAGTAGGGCAGCCATTAAACATGTGTAAATGTGGCTGGTGTCATGTAACTAAAGAACTGAATTTTATACTTTATTTTAATTTTAATAGGCAGATGTAGCTAGTGTCTACTGTATTTGACAATACAACCATATATACAATTGTTATTAAATGCTGTCGAGTCATTTCCAACTTGTAGACTACATAGAGTTTCCAAGGAATGGCTGGAGGATTTGAATTGCTAACTTTGTGATTCGTAGTCCAATGCTTATTCTTCAGTGCTGCACCAGGTTAGCTTGTACTTGTTACAATCACCTTTGATGGTGACTAACAAGAGAAGCAGAGTATTTTGTTTATTTCACAAAACCAGGTTGGTATCTGGTGCTGGTGTGGTATATCACGGTATCAAAGACCTGGTCTCTTTCTGTTATGTGTTTGTTGTATGTCGCCTTTTTTCTCAAGAGAACCTCATGGTCCAAGATACTTGTTCAAAATCTGTAAATTAGGCAGTAGGCTTGCACCATAAGATCCATAGGTCAGGAGACAAAATTGAGAGGAAAAGAAAAGATTTCTGCCAAAATATTTCTTTAGAGTCTGAAAGAAGAACACACCTTAAGACTTCTATCTCAACAGATAAATCACATTGTATTATATGCTGGAAAGGTAACTAAGTACATTACATTTAATTAGATTGCATTATGGAACAACAGTTAGTCTAGTGTTTGGTAAAACCATTGGGAACTATAGCCTAGTAGTATTGTTATACAACATTAACCATCATAGTGCCTGAGTTAGGTTGGGTTTTTCAAAAGTGGGTGTCAGACAGCGTCTCATGTGAAATTTACGTATTAGGTAGTACTCCCAAGAAAAACTGTACATTTGTAGGGAAGAGCGGAAATGAGACCAGGAAGGCAAAGATAGTAAATTAAATCTGATGGAGGTAATGTCTCAATTTCACTAGGTCATTCTAGAGACAGTGATGGACAGCTCTTAGAGTGGTCCTGGTCTGGGGGCAATGGCACTAGAGAATTTATATTTCAGGACACATGAGTAAATGTAAATCCTCAGACACTCCTGGTTCTTGAAGTACCAGGCAAAAAGTGTCCCATTAATCTGAGGGCATCCTGCCCATAAAGAGATACAAGTGCTACTCACTGAAACGGAAACCACATGTGCACAAAAAATGGTTAGAGCTTCAGGAAGAAATAGAGCACAAACAATGTCTGTGGATTACCTACCAGAATCTCCTTAGGAACTTGGTAATAATTCAGTAGTCCAAACCCTACCCTAAGCCTAATGAAAGAAGCATATCTGACAGCAGGGTCTGGGCAGTTGTATTTTAATAAGATGTCCAATGGATTCATGCCAATAATGTTTGAGAACCACTACTGTAGTCAGTCTGCCATGCTGTAGAGTCTGGTTTCCACCACTCATCTATCAGTTTGTTATACTGTGGTGGCTTTCATGTTCCTGGATGCTGGAAGCTATGCCAGTGGTATTTTAAATATCAGCAAGGTCACCCTTGGTGAATAGGTTTCAGTGACGCTTCCAGATTAAGCCAGACTAGAAAGTAGGAGAGGGGGACCACTTCTGAATGATTCACCACTGAAAAATTTATGAACAGGAGCAAAACATTTTCTGATAGAGAGCCAGAGGATGGGCCCCTCAGGTTGGAAGGCACTCAAAATATGATTGGGGAAGAGCTGCCTCCTCAAAGTACAGTTGACCTTAATGACATGGATGGGATAAAGCTTTCGGGACCTTCATTTGCTGATGGGGCACAACTCAAAATGGGAAGAAACAGCTGTAAATATCTATTAGTGATCAGAACATGGAATGTAGAAAATATGAATTCAGGAAAATTGGAAGTCACCAAAAAAATAAATGGAACATATAAAGATAAATATGCTAAGCATTAGTGAGCAGAAATGAACTGGTATTGATTGAGGACATGAATTTTTTAATTTAATTCAATTTAAGTAGTTTTAGATTGAAGAAGTTGGTAGAAGTCATCATCACTGGTTTTAGTGGTTGGTGAATAAATTTGAATAATAGTCGTATCAACAGGTTTTCTTTGAAGGCATATGACTATCATCCTATTACAGACAGCATTGTACTTTAAGATTACTCTTGAAATGCTCTTCTTGACAATAAATGTGATGCCATTCAATTTGTTGTTCCCATCATAGTAGATCAAATGATTATCTGATTCAAATGGTCAATACCAGTCCATTGCAGCTCTCCACTTGTAAGTGCTTAATAGTTACACGTAGATAGTGACTACCATACTAGATAGTGAACATATGTAACATTCCCATCATTGTAAAAAGTTGTTCAACTGGACTGTGCTGAAGAAGGGTGTGTCCTTTGTCCCAAGGTCACACTTATATAGTAATTTAGGTAGAAAGAGAGAAATGATAGACAGATGATACAGAGATACAGAGGTATAAATGTACATATCTGATAGAGATATAAATTTATTTGCTTTGATGTTAAAATAGAGAAATTTTCTCATTGGAATTGGATGCCACTAGACATTTTAACCATAAAGCTAACTCCCTTGCTCTGATTTCATACACACTCAGTAGTCTTTTGACTACAATTCACTTTGTCATTGACATATGGGCCCTGATAGTTCTCATTGTTACAAACATAATTGTTATTGTTTTTCTATACACCAATCTTTAGAGTTTGGTTAATGGTACCTCCCCTTGATATAATGAAGTTCTTTTTAATAAATTAGACACCTACAACGTGCCAGGAGTCCTCATGTGGCACTGTAGGATAAATACTGGACTGCTAATCTTAAGATCAGTGGTTCAAACTCACCAACAAACCCTATTCAAGGTCACTGTGAGTTGGAACTGACTTGATGGCAAACAACAACAAAAAAGTGTTGGAAGTAGTAGATACAAAGGTGACTAAGTCAAATGTAGATTGGTTCTCAGATCTTTAATCATAGTAAAACTGCAAAACTAGCAACCAGACTGCGTGTGTGTGTTAGGCACTGTCGAGTGCTTCTGACTCAAAGCAACTCTATGCACCGCAGAACAAAACACTGTCTGGTCCTTTGCCATCCTCACAATTTTTTGTTATGTGCAGGTTCCTCATGAACACAATTAAGTGTTCTGGAATACCCATTATTCATAATGTTATCCATAGTTCGTTATGATCCACACAGCCAAATGCTTTTGAGTAGTCAATAAACCACAAGTAAACTTCTTTCTGGTATTCTCTGCTTTCAGTCAAGATCCATGTAACATCAGCAGTGATATCCCTAGGTCCACATTCTCTTCTGAATCCAGCTTGAATTTCTGACAGTTCACTGTCAATGTCCTATGCAAATGATTCTGAATTATCTTCAGCAAAATTTTACTTGCATGTGATATTAATGATATTGTTTAATGATTTCTGAATTCCATTGGGTCACCTTAATTGGAATGGGCACAAATATGGATCTCTTCCAATCTGTTGGCCAGCCAACTGTCTTCCAAATTTCTTGGCATAGAAGAGTGAACCATTTTGAAACATTTCCATTTGTATTTCATCAATTTCTGGAGCCTTGTTTTTCCACCAATGCCTTCAGTGTAGCTTGGACTTCTTCCTATACTACTACTGGTTCTTGGTCATACCTCTTGAAATGATTTAACATTGATCAATTCTTTTTGATACAGTGACCCTGTGTATTCCTTCCATTTTCTTTTGATGCTTCTTGTGGCATTTAGTATTTTGCCCATTGTTGTTGTTAAGAGTCATTGAGTTGGTTCTGATTCATAGCAATGGTGTATAAGGTTTCCAAGGAGTGGCTGTTGGGATTGAATTGTCAACCTTGAAGTTAGCAGTCCAGTGCTTATACTACAGCACCACACTAGAACTCCATTATGCCTATTTTGTTGTTGTTGTTGCTAAGTGATGTCGAGCTGGTTCTGACTCATAGTGACCCTGTATAGGGTTTCCAAAGAGTGGCTTGGGATAGGATCCTTCAAAATTGCAAGTTGAGGCTCGAAGTCTTTATTCCATTCTTTCAGCTTGAAAAGTGTCCAGTGTGTTCTTCCCTTTTGGTTTTCAAACACTAGGTCTTTGCATATTTCATTATAATACTTTGTCTTCTCAAGCTGCCCTTTGAAATCTACTCTTCAGTTCTTTTATGTCATAATTTCTTCCATTTACTTTAGTTATTATACTCTCCAGAGCAAGTTTCAGAGTCTTTTTTGGCATGCATTTTGGTCTTTCTTTCTTTCCTTTATTTTTAATACCCTTTTGCTTTTTTATTGTACAATGTCCTTGATGTCATCCCACACGTCATCTGATCTTCAGTCATCCATGGACAATGTGGCAAATGTATTCTTGAGATGGTCTCTAAACTCAGATGGGATATACTCAAGGTTATACTTTGTCTCTTGTTGTTGTTAAGTGCCATTGAGTCAGTTCTGATCCATAGCGACCCTGTATAAGGTTTCCAAGGAGCAGCTGGTAAGCTTGAACCACTGACTTTGCGGTTCAAACCGATTTTGCAGTCTAGCGCATTAACCCACAGCGACTTATTTTAATTTTCTTCAGCTTCAACTTAAGCTTGCATGTGAGCATTTGCTGATCTGTTCTGCAGTTCTAACTGATGATCTTCAACTTCTCCATCTTTACTTTGCACAGATGTAGTTAATTGCAATTCATCTGGAGAGTTCTCCATGTAAACTCACTATTTATGTTGTTTAACAAAAAAAGATCTTGAAGTAAGTTATTGGTCTTGCAAAATTCTATCATGCTATCTCTAGCATCATTTTATAACCAAGGCCATATTTTCCAACTATTGATCCTTTGCCTTTGTTTCCAGCGTTCACATTCCATTCATGAGTAGTTATCAAAGCCTCTTGACTGCATGCTTGATCATTTTCAGATTACAGAAGTTGGTAAAAATCTTCAGTTTCTTCATCTGTGACATTAATGGTTGGTGCGCAAGCTTGAATAATAGTTGTATTAACCAGTCTTTCTTGAAGACATATGGATATCATTTTATCCCTGATAGTATTATATTTCAAGATAGATCTTGAAATGTTCTGTTTGAAATTTCCTGTTCATCTCTTTTACTTCACCATTTATTCCAGTTGCTTTAGCTTATCTACACCTAGTACCTAGATCTACAAGCATTCCATATCATTTCTTACAACTTTATACTTCGTCCATTCCACATTCCCATTTTTAATGATTATTTACAGCTGTTCCTTCTCATTTTGATTCATGCCACATCAGCAAATGAAGGTCCTGAGAGCTTTACTCCATCCACATCATTAAGATCAACTCTACTTTGAGGAGGCAGCTTCTCCTCAGTCGTATTTTGAATATTTTCCAATGTGAGGGACTCATCTTCTGGCACTACATCAGACAATTTTCTGCTTCTGTTCATGAGGTTTTCACTGGTCAGTTGGTTTGGAAGTAAATTGTAAGGTTCTTCTTCCTAGTCTGTCCTTCTTCCAACTCTGGAAACTTCACTGAAACCTCAGGCTGGATGAGCTTGTAGTATTTTAAATACCAGCAGCATAGCTTTTCCAGCATCACAACAACACATAAGACATCACAGTACAAATAAGTGACAGATGAGTGGTGGAACGTGTGACTAATGGCTGGCAGATTGAAAAGCACAGCCCTCGACAGGATTTTTGTAGTGATGCCAAGAATACATACTGTGGCTCACATTTTTCTTTTCTTTATTGCTAACAACCACAACCATTACCTTCCTTTGCCAAGGCACTTGATATTTGATAGTTATATAAATTAATTAATTCTGATTACTTGAAAGTTTTGCTGACCTAGAATCAACCTTGTCTTTTGTAGATACTTTTGATTACCTATACCCCAACTTTTTATGTGTTAATTTCATGGTTTCATTCTCAGAGGCAAACATATCCCCACTCTTTCTTATTTCTTGAAGAATAACTCCCTTAATTAGTATGAAGAGTTGTAAATTATCAAAAATATATCAGGAAAGAAAATAATTGTGAAATGACTATATTATCTTGCATTTTACAGATTCATGCACTAAGTCAATTACTTGTGTAAATAGTCTAAAATTGTAAAACTATGTTCACCTTTCCATCAAATTTGGTTGAGTGACTAGATAGAGTCATAAATAGATGATTAAGGAATTTTGCATTAAAAAAAAAAATCTGTTTGACAAAGTAAAAAACACCAAGACTTATTTTATTTAAAAAAAAAAAAGTTGAAACATGATGTGCCAGGCCCATACTAGACATAGGGCAGAAACAGAGAGTTAGAAACAGTCTCTGGCCTCATGGATCTGCCATCCTATAATAGGTGACAGGTGGTGCTCTTGAATAAATAAGATATTTCAGAAAGGGATTGGTACCACCATGACAGTTGCCAAGGTAATAGGGTAGACAATGACTGGAAAGCTTTGACAAGAAGAGAAGGGAAGGTCTTTCTGAAGAACTGGCATTTGAGTGGACACTTCCATAATGAGAAAGAACCAGCCATGTAAATATTTGGGTATGCAAACCAAAAACAAACCCATTGCCAGCAAGTCAGTTCCAACTCAGAGCAACCTGCTGGAAGAAGAGAGCTGTTTCATAGGGTTTCAGAGGATGTAAGTCTAGATGGAGCTCTGGTAGCATAGTGGTTACAAATTGGGCTATGAGCTGCAAGGTCAGCAGTTCGAAATTACCAGCTGTTCCATGGGAGAAAGATGAGGCTTTCTGCTCCCGAAAAGATTTACAGCCTCGGAAACCCTGTGCAGGGTCGCTACGACTCCACGACACATAACAACAACAACAACAAATCTAAATGGAAGCAGAGAGCCTCATCTTTCTCCTGCAGAGCAGCTGGTGGGTTCTGACAACCGACCTTTCAGTTAGTCGCCCAACTGTGCCATTAGGGCTCCTATCTGGATAGGAGGGAGCCTTAATTCTAGGAAGAGAAATAGGCAAGTGCAAAGGTTCCAGGGCACACTCTGAAAGCAGAGTACAGCTCAACATAGGGACAGAGTTAAAAAAAAAAACTGGAGACAAGAATAGGCCAATTCGGATATTTAAATTCTTAACACAGTGAAAATTATTATTTAAGTAGAAAAGTTGTTGTTGTTAAGTGCCGTCGAGTTGATTCTGACCCATAGCGACCCTGTATAGGGTTTCCAAGGAGCTTGAACTGCCTACATTTAAAGATATTACTCTAGCTTCTCTGGGAAGAGGTTGTTGGAGAAATAAGAATAAGGTTATCCTTCCCATTCCATTTCTTAGAGAATAAGGGATACACTATCAAGAAGATAAATTTTAAGAAAAGTCCTTTAATTTAGAGCCTGGAGAAGTGGAAATCTGACCTTTATTCTTTAACTTACTGGCTGTGTGATCTTACAGAAACTGCGATGCCTTGCTCAGCTTCTGTGCCTTCAGAAGGTTGTTGGAAATAATGGGCACGAACGTGCTCTGGCTCTATGTAAAGGTGGCAAGTCATTCTTTACAGTCTTCACAGCCTCCTACTGTTCCTCCACAAGCCATCTTGCTTAGTTCTCTCCAGATTTTGCATTAAATTCCCACTCTCCTTTTTTTTGTTTTTTCTTTGCAGGCTGTGTGGACACAAACGAGGCTTATCTCTATTTCCTCATTGATGGCTCAGGAAGTATCCAGCCAGAACAGTTTGAGGAAATCAAGGAATTTATGTCACAGGTGACAGAAATATTTAACACAGGTTCAGACGAAATCCGAGTTGGAGTTGTGCAGTACTCCAATGAGCCAAGAGTGGAATTTGATATTGGTGAATATTCTAATAATGTTGACTTAAAGAAGGCTATTTTTAACATCAAGCAGCTAACGGGTGGAACACAAACAGGGAAAGCCCTGGATTATATGCAGCAAATAATAAAAGAAGGAAGGGAACATTGGCAACCTGACATTCCTGTTTACCTCATTGTGCTGACTGATGGGAAGTCCTCGGACAGCGTCCTGGAACCTGCGGCGAGGGTGAGGGCTGAAGGAATCATTATCCATGCCATTGGCATTGGAGAGGCCAATAAAACAGAACTACAAGGCATTGCTGATGATAAGCAAAGGGTTAGTTATGGGAAGAACTTTGATTCTTTAAAAATGATTAAAAATGAAGTTGTTCACAGCATCTGCACTGAAAAAGGTGAGTAAAACAAACTGAGTTCATTCTTTGCATTTCATCATGAATGGCTTCAGGCAGATGCATGACCAGGTTAAGACAGGCTCATGTAACAAGTGGTCCAGCTAACTTTTTTTTGTAGCTATCTTATTAAATCACCACAAAGGGATCAAGCCCCTCACTGTAAAGCCACCTGCCAACATTGGAGGATTCCTCTAAAGATAGTAAGAAGGTGGTTAGGAGGGACAGGGCTTTGACAAAATCCACTAATGTGGAGTGTAAGAGAATCTATTCTCTGTGTGTGTGTGTGTGTATGTGTGAGTGTGTACGCATGCACTGAAGGCAGATGAATACATAGGAACGAAATGGGCTCTCAATTTCAATATTTAAGGGTTCAGCTCACTTTCATAATTGTGTCTTAAACTTCCTTCTCTATAAAATGAGGATAATAGCTACATTGGTGTTGGTGGTCATGTGCTGTGGAGTCAGTTCTGAATCATAGCGACGCTGTACAGGGTTTCTGAGGTTGTAAATCTTTACAGGAGCAGAAAGCCTCATCTGTCTCCCACGGAACAGCTGGTAGTTTCAAACTGCTTACCTTGTGGCCCGCAACCTGATTCGTAACCACTATGCTACCAGAACTCCTAATAGTTACATTAGAGAACACTAATAGCCTTAATTTAACAAACATCAGCAATTATTTTATATTATGAATCGTAGTATGTATTTATAACCATCATTCATTTTGATTTATAACATCAACACATATTCACATTTCTTTTGGACTATCGGTTAAATGCCAAAAATTAGGAAGAAAACTTTTTAAATTCCTGATTGTTATTTCTCTTAACAATATCTAAGAAACCAAACCAGTTCCTGTTGAGTTGATTCCAACTCATGGCAGCCCCACGTGTGTAGAGCGGATCTTCACTCTGTAGGGTTTTCTAGACTACAGTCTTCTGGAAGCAGATCACCAGAACTTTCTTTCAAGACTTCTGGGTAGGTTCAAACCACCAACCTTTCAGTCAGTGTTTAAGAGCTTAACCCTATGTGCCACCCAGCAATTACACAGCCACTCAATCATGAAGACCAGAACTACTCCTTTATCGGAAACTGTAAACCTTTCTCCCGCCAGGGATTCCTTGTTGCTAAATGCTATCAAGTTGGTTCTGATTCATAGAGAATTTCAAAGGAGCAGCTGGTAGGTTTGAACCACTGACCTTGTAATTAGCAGTCCAGTGCTTTTCCTACAATGGTACACCAGAACTCCAGGGACTCCTAGTCCCTATAAACTCAAGATAGTATTATTAATTAAAATACTAATAATGTTGACTTAAAGAAGGCTTTAAGTTTTACGTATGAAAATGTTGCCTTCCAAGAGATCTGTTAGTCTATTGGTTAAGAATAAGTATGCAGGAGTCAGAGAAATCAGGTTCAAACCTATCTTACCACTAATTAACTGTGAACCTTAACTACATTACATACTTTCTATCTGCCTTGATTCCCTTGTCTGGAGGATTATTGTGAAGTTAAAGGTGGTAGCACCCAAGGAGTCCTTAGAATAGTACTTGACGCAGAAGTTCGTTAATGTGTTCACCGATGAGGAGAGGCACTGACTCAAATATATTTTGAACTAACTAAATTGAAATGTGTTTGACTTTTCTCTGAGCCTCTGAAAAATAGGTAAATAAACAAATAAATAGCATTAACAACAAATTTTGAAATCAAAGTTTTGTTCATTGTTCTTCCTATAAAGAAGAATAATGGTTTTCATTACTCATCTTTCATTACTTTTAAGAACTTCAGGATACCTTAGGAAGAATGAGAGATTAAAAGTTTCTTTGGGCTGACACTAAGAAGTCAAGAAAAACTTTTCATGCTAAAAGACACATTCTATGATGGCTACCAGGTGTGGGCAGGAAGGGAGAATTACTCACCAGCTAGAGGGCAGTGTTTCATTCTGTTGTGCATAAGGTCACTATGAGTAAGAACCCATTTGAGGGCACCAAGGAGCTCTGGTAGCGTAGTGGTTACGAATCGGGCTGCGAACCTTAAGGTCAGCGGTTCGAAACTACCAGCCGCTCCGCGGGAGAAAGATGAGGCTTTCTACTCCCGTAAAGATTTACACCCTCGGAAACCCTGTACAGGGTTGCTATGGGTCGGAACCGACTCGATGGCACTTAACAACAACAACAACATTGTTAACTGATGGTACATGGAAGGGGATTGTAATCACTGAGATGAAATGAAATGTTGAATGTAAAACTGATGATCTCCTCTGTAAACATTCACTCAATTCATTACCAAAGTTAAAGAAAAATAGAAAAGTGAAAGAATTTCAGGAAGCATAAAATTGCTTGTATCTCAGGTCCTTTCAAGATAGAAAGTCTTGGACCAATCTAAAGAATTGCAGTACCTCTGTTGCAGTTCATCAGTCTGAAAATTTTCACAAGTGTGGACAAGGAAATGAGCCAAAGGATTGAGAATAGAGAGGCAGATAAAGTAAGCTGTCAAAGCTTGGGAGGCTAGGAAAACCACACACACAAACTACTGGTCTCAGAGCAAAATGATAAGGAATGAGGAACAACACAAACTATAGTGATTTCAACAACGTTGTTTCTTGTTTGTTCTGATTCATAGAGATCCTTTATAGGGTTTCCAAGAACTGGCTGATTGGTTTGAACTTGCTGTTAGCAGTCCAGTACCTATCCTACATCAGTAAGAATATTATTTTTTTCTTACATAATAGTCCAGTCTACTAGAAGGGCTGTTTAATCCTCAAGAGAAAGCTTCTATCTTTTGGTCAAAATGGAAACACCCTTCTCCAATGGAAAGGGTGAGAAAGAGCTATCACACTCAGTTGTTTTAATAATAAAACCTAGAGTTGCCAAATCTCAGCCACTCATATCTATTGCCTCATGTGGCCACATTTAGCCTCAAGGAAAGTCGGGAAATGTAATCTTTAACTGGGTAGCTATCTGATTAGTTGAAATTCATTATCTTGGAAGAATGGGAGAACAGAAAGAGGGGACAAGAAGCAGTTTGTGTAGAAACAAAGAGGTGGACCCTGTGACTAAACCACATGTCAAAAACAAAACAAAACCCAAACCCAATGTCACTGAGTTCATCCAATTCATAGCAACCTTACAAGACAGTGTAGAACTGTCTCATAGGATTTCTGAGTCTGTAAATCTTTACAGGCTCAGATAGCTTCATCTTTCTTCCATGAAGCAGCTTGTGGGTCAAACTTCTGACTTTGTAGTTAGCAGCCCAATGCCTAACCCATTATGCTATGTGTTACATGAAATAGAATCTTCTACACATCACAGCAGTGAAGCTTTCCCAAGACCACAAGCATACTCAGTGACCTTCCTAGTTTTGATTTTCAAGATGACTCCAGGATAGCCTGAGTGTGAAAGTGGTGGTTTTACTCCTGGTGGTACAGTGGCTTAAGTGTTGGGCTGTTAGCTACAAGACCAGCAGTTCAAACCCACCAGGTGCTCCTTGGAAGAAAGATGAAGCTGTCTGCTCCTGTAAAGATGAACAGTTTTGGAAATCCCATGATAAGTTCTACTGTATCCTATAGAGCCATTATGAGCCACTATGAATAAGAGGCATGAATGTATACAACACAAGTTATTAAAAAATAATTAATGTCTTTTTATACTTTTATGGCCAATACTATTTGTGTATTTTAAATTAGAATATGATAGATTGAGTGTTGAGAGAAGGACTGGTCATTAGATTGGCAGAGATAATAGAAAAGTAAAAGGGATGAGACATAATAGATACATGATTTAAAAAAAATACATTTGCTACATATATCTCCTGTGAGTACAGAAAATTTGCTCTGATTCATTTTTTGATCACCATGGAATTCTTAACACATTAACTGATACTTGGAATTTCATACACCCTCAAGAATTATGAATGAAAGGATGATGAATGAATGAATGAATACACACTTTAGAAATTACATTTCCTTTAGAAAGCTCTCTGGATAATCATCAGTGGAGTTTGGATTCAGGGTGCTTGTCAACAGGCACCTATTAAGGAAGCAAATAAAATGTTCCAAGGCTGGAGTTCATTTTTAATGTTTTCTGATTCATGCTTTTATTTCTGTTTTACTGTTTGTATATATTCTGAGAGTCACGCCAATCTCAGTCATTTCTGTTCTTTTTTTTTTTATAACATGCAGGATGTGAAAACATGAAGGCTGACATTATGTTTCTGGTGGACAGTTCTAACAGTATAGGAAATACCAATTACCAGAAAATGATAACTTTCATAAAAGGCCTGCTAGCTAAAATCAAAATTGGTCGGGATAAATCCCAAATTGGTGTTGTTCAGTTCAGTACTGAGACTAAAGAGGAGTTCCCGCTTAATAAGTATTTTACACGTAAAGAAATTCTTGATGCCGTAGACAGAATGGCTCTCATCAGTGAAACCACTGAGACTGGAAAAGCGCTGACCTTTGTAGCTCAATACTTCACCCCCTCAAAGGGAGCCCGTCCTAAGGTTAAAAAGTTTCTCATCCTCATCACTGATGGAGAAGCCCAGGGGAGTGTGAAAGAAGCTGCTGAAGCTCTTCGGAACAAAGGTGTGACCATCTTCTCTGTGGGGGTGTCTGAGGCCAATATAACACAGCTAGAGGAGATCAGTGGGGATGCCAACCTTGTTTTCCGAGTTGAGAACTTTGACCATCTAAAGGCCATAGAAAGTAAACTCATCTTTCGCGTGTGCACTGTCGATGGTAAGTGACCCTGTTCCCTTTCACGACTCTAGGATATGTGCTGTTGACATTATAGTGGAGTGCTTTACTCCGGACTTGATGTTTACCTACACTTGATAGCTAACTTTGGGTATAGGTTCTCCAGAGACATTTCAGAATAATAATGTTGACAACTAATATCCCATGGGAAACAGAATAATAGATTCACTGAGTGACTTGAAATGTATCCCAAGAAAGTCTCCCAAGTTTACATTAAACTTCCAACTCTTTAATACTTGCATACCTGGATTTTCTAAAGTTAACTTTTAATCCTAAATTATTTCCCAGCATTGTTTCTTGGCTACTTATAACCTTGTTAAATGGTAAATAATTAGAAATACAAATGCATCTTCCTATTAAATAACTATAACCCTCGCCACCCCTGACCGCCCCAAAAAAACTTGCCTATTGTCTTACAGATGCTATTGTGTTATCCTTTGTCAACAAGGTTATTCTGACACCTGACAACTTTATACATAACAGAGAAAAAGTTTCCCAGTGTATATTAAAAATAGGGTATATTTTCATTACTTCACATTATTCTTCTTAACCTCTAACAACTAAGGATTTTATACATATCTATCTATTTGGAAATTTTTGATTTGTTGCTTTTTATTTCTGATTATTTGGTGATCATCATTTTTCTCAGAAATTATAATGCTTCTTAAATTGTGTTCAGCAAACTTTGCTTTGATTACGTCAATTGTTAATGGCTCCTGAATGAGAATTCGCTGTAAATCCACAGATAAAGACAACTGTGATTTTAAAATCGCTCATGGTATTCATTAGACTTCATTTTTCCAAATTACTGATGTGAATTTTTCAGAAACTCTTGCTGTAAACTGAATTTTAGATAACAGCTCTAAAATTTTACTATCATAACCTAATTGGAGCTTTTTTTTTTTTATTCTACAGGGGAAATTATTCCAAAATCCTTAGTAATATTGTCACAGTCTAAGACACTTGTGCCTTATGACCACAACCCCCCCTTTTGAAACATACAGGGGCTCTCCCAGCCATCTCTTAGCATTGACAAAGCTGGTGTCTGTGGAGGCATTAGCTGAGCAAAAATCAAAGTTCAGCTGACTCATGCATTAGGTAATCTAAGTATTTGTCAAGTCATGACTAGTCACCACATCATAGGGAGTCATTGCCCCCAGTACCTGCAGGTAAATGTAGTCTGGGTTCATTCCTAGTTCAGACACTTGAAAATTTGAGACTCTGTGGGAACACATAAGGGTTGGAGGTAAAGTAGGCAGAGTAGAAAGCGAAGAAACTGAAGCTTTGAAGGCATGTGCTCAAGTTATCGAGAGAAGGAAGAGGAGAGAGAGAAGCCCGCTTGTTGGAGATTCAGCCAGAGTGGTGACTTGTCTTCTCTTCTAATACGGAGAAATGTTCAGAACTAAAGAAAAGGTGATAGGAGCTTTACATCTGCTCTACTTGGGACCACTCTTTTCAGAATTCTTATTCAGGTTAGGAAAAGGGGCATATGACAAGACAGCTGGGACAACTGGAAGTCGGATCAATGCCCAGCTTATTCCATGAGTTCCTGAGCTGTTTACAACAGCAGGCCAATTTGGTAAACATCAGTTATGTTGCACCATTATATTGACATTAAACTAGCATCTGATGTTTTCATTCAGCAAATGCTTAGCAAAGACATTATGTGTACTAATGAGAGCTAGTAGTATAGAGTGGTGTGGTATAAGAACCATCAATTGAGAAATCATATAAATAAGGAGATAAATGTCCTTGGGCTCCTGATGCTTAGCAAGCGGTACATCTTTGAACCTAAGTTTCTTTTTCAGTAAAATGGCAACAGCTGCTGTGAGAATGTAATGAGATGCAATGTCTGGCATATACCAGAATAGGGCAGTTAGTTTGCTCCTTTCCTCAGAAGTCTGTATAAAATGTACTGCACAAAGTTTGTGACTTCGGCTTTCTCCTCATTCCAGAGTGTAAAGATATTCAACGGCTAGACATTGTGTTTGTGTTGGATCATTCAGGCAGCATAAGTGACGAAGATCAAAAAAGCATGATTAACCTAACTGTCCACTTGGTGAAGAAAGCAAATGTTGGCAAGGACCAAGTTCAGTTTGCAGCTTTAAAATACTCCAACAGTCCTGAGGTTCTTTTCTACCTTAATACGTACACAAGAAAATCAAAAATTGTGGCGGATCTGAGGAATCTTAGGGTCACCGGTGGGGATACCTACACTGCTAGAGCTCTCGAGCACTCAAATATCCTGTTCACGGAGGAATACGGTGGCCGCAAGAAGCAAAATGTGAAGCAGATGCTGATTATCATCACCGATGGAAAATCCCATGACCGAGATGATCTCCAGGACACAGCACTGAAGTTAAGAAACAAGGGCATCACCATCTATGCAGTGGGTGTAGGACAGGCTGACCGAAAAGAACTTGAGATGATAGCAGAGAAAAAGGAAAATGCTATTCATGTAGAAAGTTTCTACAAACTGAAAGATATTTACCAGCTTCTACAAGAAAATCTGTGTGGAGTTTCATCAGAGGGTAAGTTATTGTTTTTATTTTTTTAAGTAATGTGTTGTTTTTGTGAATATACACAGTAGAACATGCACCAGTTCTATACTTCTATATTGTCGAATTTGAATAATCTTTGATATTGATTACATTCTTCACATTGCATAGTCATTCCTCCCCTCCTTTTCAGAGTTAGTTGTTCCACTCCCCATTGCTGCTCTCTGAGGTTCCTATTAATTTTCTGAGTTGCTGTTCTCAATTTGAGGCTGTAATGTTGTTGTTAAGTGTCATCAAGTAGGTGCTGACTCATAGGTGATGCATAGGGTTTCCGCGGCTATACATCTTTACGGGAGCAGAAAACCTTATCTTTCTCCTGCAGAGCAACTGGTGGATTTGAACAGATGATCTTTGAACTATGCTACTGGGTTCTTTTTGATCCCATTCTAGATAGATTTTAAAAGAGCACAGTGATCAACACAGACATCCTTTACTGGTTAAGCTAAACTATTGTTTGGTTTTACAGAAGACTTCATAAACACCTTAATCATAGTCATTTAATAGCTAGAAGACTCATAATCATTTAATAGTTAGCTACTCACTATTCTAGCTTTGCTTAATGGCCTCAATATAGCCACATGGAGTCAGTTTCAGGTCAAACACAAGTGAAGAGTTTCATGGTTTAAATAGATGGACTTGGAGATTATAGGGATCCTATAGGGCCATGGTCGCTATGAGTCAAAACTGACTTGATAGCACTTAACAACAACAACAACATAGGGCCATGGAGTCCTAGTGTGGTGCTTTAGGTTAATGCAATGGACTGCAAGATCTATATGAACTTCTAGGTTGGCGGTTCAAGATCACCAGCAGCTCCTCAGAAACACTATACAGGGTCACTATGAATCGGAACCGACTCGATGGCACTGAACAACAGCATAGGGCCATGAGAACTTCTGGTGTGGCACTGTAGGATAAGCACTGGACTGCTAACCACAAGAATAGCAGTTCAAACCCACCAACCACTCCTTGGAAACCCTATATAGGTTTGCTGAGTTGGAACCAACTCCACGGCACTTAACAACAACAACACAGGGCCATAAGTATCTACAAGGTTCAAACCCACTAGCTACTCCATGGAAGAAAATGTGGCAGTTTGCTTCCATAAAGATTTATAGTCTTGGAAACCCTATGGGGCAGTTCTACCCTGTCCTACATAGTCACTATGAGTCAAAATTGACTCAATGACAATAGATAGACAGGATGGGACCATAAGAAGTTTAGGTGGTGGCATGGGCATTTTAGATAAGAGACACCAGTGCAAAGGAATGGATATGGGAGCTAAATGCGTAGGGTAATGAATATTGAATATTAGGACAAAGCAGGGTAGGACACTCAGCTGAGTATGTGCGACCACTTGGTGGGTAGGCTAGAGACATCACATCTGTGTAAAGAAAGGATGAAAATTGTCATTTGATCTGTAAAGTCATCTAGAGAGGGCTGCCAAGACTCCTTGGAAGATCTAAATCCTTACCTAATCTTGTCACATTCTTCCAAACCTGACAAATAATTCAGCTAAATTCCTTCTTCCCTTCTTCATTGCCTTCCTCCTTCCCTCTATCCTCTTGTCTTCCTTTCCTCCTTTCTCCCTATGAACACAAAACCCACTTTTGCATCCAATATAAATCATGTTTCTAAGACTAACGTTAATCTACACTCATCTCTCTGTAACCAGACCAAACTCAAGCATACTCTTCCCAATATCAGATCAGCAGTTACTTTGCTCACTGAAACCATACCTGGACCACCATGGTTCTGTATTACTTAAGTAAGCAACAAATTCAGTGTTTTCTTTCAAATATTGAATGATAGTCTTATCTTTAACTAAGAAAAATATCTGATTTTCCTCAAGGTGGCAGAACCATCTCGACTCTGCTGCTGGCTCTAATCTATCCATGGGCTCCCATCTTGAAACCTAGTCTCCCTACTATCCATCTTGCCACCTCCAGTCCATTCTCAACATGGCAACTTGAGCAATCTTTACAGTTACCACTGGAATATGGTATCAATTATTTGCTTACAACTTTATGGAGGTTTCCTTCTGCCCTTGAGGCAGTTTCCAGACTTTAGTCTCATCTCACACCCCTCCATTCCTTACATTCTACCCTAGGCTGTTCTGGGAAAAAATGCACATTTTTTTCACAGACTATTCTACCCTGTGACCACAATAGCTCACCGCTTCACCTGGCTACATCTAACTTGTCAGTGAGGTTTCAGCCTCTGCTTGGCAGGTTTCCTGACCTCACACTTGGATGTGTCTCCTCTGTGTCCCACAACTCATAACACCTTTTATTTCTCCTAGTGGTACAACTTAACACATCATACTCTACTTGCTGTTTTCTTATCTGTATCTGTTATAGATGATTTGATCCCTGGCAGGTTTGGGATCAAATCATCATTGAATGTCCACCAAATTCAGTGAATTACTAGGACTCTAGTCTTTTCCTAGGAGCCTAAGGGCTGTTTTATTATAGATGCTGAGATGGAATTCAGAGCAAAAGATGTTTACTAGAAACCACGCCTGTGAAAGAAAGGAGGCAGAAGAAGTAGACAGCAAGGCATGTTTGATGAAGCTCCAAATCTGGCAAGGAGTTCTGGAGTGAGTCCTGTTCACAAGACTGAAATGACTGGGCAGCTCCTTCTCACTTAAATCACTGGAGGTGGCCTGCCCTAAGAAGGACATGACCTTCTCTGCAGCTGAGCGGATCCTGAAAGAGCTGACAGCTGGAGGCTGGCTGTTGGCCATACTCCCACAGCTGGGCAACAAGTCCTTTCCTTGAAAGCTTATCTGAACGGTGCATCTCTGTGTGTAGCACAGTACTGTTACAAGGACTTCTATGACAATGGCAACCCATTGTCACAAATACCTTTAGTCAAAATGAGGAGAAACAGCTGCAAACATCCATTAATAATTAGAACATGGAATGTACTAAGTATAAACCTAGGAAAATCAGAAGTTGTCAACAATGAAATGGAATGCAAAAAGATAGATATCTTAGGTGTTAGAGAATTGAAACGGACTTGTATTGGCCATTTTGAATCTGACAATTACATGGTTTACTATGCTAGGAATGACAAATTTAACAGGAATTCACCATCAAAAAGAACATTTCAAGATCTGCCTTGAAGTATAATGCTGTCTGTGATAGGAGGATATGCATGTGCCTACAAAGCAGACCAGTGAATACAACTATCATTCAAATTTATATACGAACCACCAAAGTCAGTGATGATAAAATTGAAGAATTCTACTAACTTCTTCAGTCTAAAATTGATTAAACATGCAATAAAGATATACTGGTATTTGGAATGCAAAGGCTGGAAACAAAGAGGAAGTTATTTTCAGTAGTTAGAAAATATGACCTTAGGGATGAAAATGATGCTGGAGATTGCATGTTAGAATTTTCCAAAACCAATGACTTCTTCATTACAAATACTTTTTTTAAGTACTGTACAAAACAACTATATACATGGA